CCCTGGAATTCTGAGAAGTCCCTCTTCTAATCCTGGAAGCTGTGAAGAAAGGGGAACATTCACACCCACAGTAACTTTTGGTCTCAGGACAGTTCTTATGGGGCTGGAGGAAGTGAATATGTGATTGTAATTTAGTAAGCACTTTCCAGAATCTTAGTTCCACTCAGCAGAAATATTGAGAATATGACAAGACACTCATCAAGGCTCTGCAGGAAGCTGGATATTAGCACATCAGAGACCATTCTTTGGAGAACCTGAGAATTACAGGAAACTGAAGTGATGGGATGCAGGGGCAGAACAGCTTCTAACCACCCTGGTGTCAACCACTGTGAGGTTTCTTTCTGACCAAGACATAATACTACATCCCTTTCGAGGTACCAGAGCCAAGAGGCTGGCATATTCCCTCTGCACAAGTGCTTGAATATTACAGCCATCAATGCAGCTTATGCTAGTCCTGCTGGGAAACTTTTCTCATGAGACTGCTTATAAAATATCTATCTGTCCTCCAAACAGAGCTTGAATTGTGCCATCTTATTAGTTTACCCATAAATATTTACTGAGCATCTTAATTTGAACCAGACCTTATTCTGAGGATATTAGTAGAATAAGGAGCTAACAGTTTAGTGGGAGCAGTAAGAAAAAATAAATACTGACATTCTGTGAGATAGGCATAATAAAACCAAACAAAAAGAAACCAAGAAACTTGCTGCTGTCGATTCCAACTCAGGACAACCCTCCATTAGATTCCCAAGGCTGTATATCTTAACAGGAACAGGCCACCTCCTCATTCTCCCATAGAATGACTGGTGGACTCAAACCACCAGCCTTTAGTTAGCAGTCTAATACCTAACTCACTATGTCACCAGGGTTCCTTGAAGTTAAAATAGAGGCACTGAGAGAGTACATGGAGTCACAAGGCACTCACCCTCGGAGTCTTACAAAGTCAGATATGCTCTAAACCTTTTCTCTACCGGTTTTGAACAATTGTCTTTTCCATAGCATTCACCATTCTGGGTTTGAAAATGTGTTATAATGGCCACGCAGAACTCATAAAGTATGGTTAGGGTTCATTAGGGAAATAACAGGTTACAGTTCATAATTTGGAACAATTCAGGATATTTTTTCCATCAGAACAATCTCTTAGCAATGTTAAAAGGCAGGCCTCTTTCTTTATGGTGTCTGGAACCTGGTCTCTGCCCTGCTTGGGAAAGTATTACAAATCATTTTAAGTCTGCCAAGGTAGGCCTCTCTCTGGTCCTCTGTCTGGCCTGCTCAGGCAAGTAGTACAAAGATATTTTAAAATTCTGCTGTTTCAAGGTACCAGCAACACCCCATTATTACAATTACCTAGGTCACAAGATGCACCTCTTTAGCTACATGAATTGGCAAACTTGGCTCCCCCAGAAATACCCAGCTGCAACCATTCTGCCAGCAAGCACTTTAATAGTCACTTCTATTCTCACATAGTAAGCTAGGAGCCTACAGTTCTGCTGGTCTTCTGATTCTGCAGCCTCTGCATCACCATTTTTCCACTGGCTGCTTAACACTCATCACTAGTTAGGCATTACAAGCAACCAGCAGGGATGTCAGATCCAAAGGATTTGGATTTTTTTTTCCTTAATGGTAACATGATTCCCATTTTCTGCTTGCCATGGCTCCTTTAAAACCTGCAGGATGACAAAGCTGACCAATCCCCACAGTTAAGTGTTTTAAGTTTTACACAACTTACTTGCATGATGCCACCCCAAAAGACCATATACTTTATTCACATAAGGTTGGCTTAGGATAGAGCAGGGTTCAGAGCTGCTGTACATAGGGTCAAGTGTCTCAATGGCACATAACAACAAAAACATCCAATCTCTTTAGTGGACCATAAACACTTCACATTTGTAGTATCTTACCAAGCTGCATGGTGGAAATGACAAAGATCCTGCCTGACAAAAAATTACATTAAATTACTGTTGGAATTTGAAATACCAGTAGCATACCTTCAAGAATTACAGCAACATGCAAGCCCCCACAGAATAACTGATCAAGGTCAATGGCTAAAGCCTTTTCGGTATGGTTACACTTTAACACAAAACAAAAATGCTCACAAATGGACCAGTAAGCAACCTCATCATAAACACAGAACATACTGAAGTTGTATAGGATTTCATTTTATTTAGATTCCCAACACCCTAGCAGCAACAGGCAATAAATTACACATTACCTTGGACAAATTTGCTGCAAAAGACTTCATTAAAGTGCTAAAATGCAAAAATTTAGCTTTGAGGACTGAGATGCATCTAACCCTTTTGTTGTTATGTGCCATTGAGTTCCCTGAAACTTATAATGACCCTATGTACAACAGCCCTAAACCCTGCTCTGACCTGTACCAATCTCACTGTCTCCAACACACATAGAGGGTCTTCCTCTCTTGCACTGTCCCTACACCCTCCCAAGCATGATGGTCCCTCCTTGCAACATGTCCAGAGTATGTCAGACAAAGCTTCAGAACCCTTGCCTCCAAGGAGCAACCTGGTTTAGCCCTCTGAGCGGCATCCACTTCCGAAATGGCTTGCCTCCGGAAACTCTATGTATGAACAATGCTCAGGCTGTTCATTCATAGGGTTGCTATGAGTCGTCTACGACTCAACGGCACCAAACAACAACGACAACAAAGAGAGAGCTACATTGGCCTAGTGTAAAGGAAGTTATGCTACCAAGCCAAAGATGGGTGATTTTCACCTGCGGCCCTTGGCCAGGTTCAAATTGTTTTCCTGTCAAACATTCTTCTAGGTGGTATAGCACTGGTCTGTGCGTTGCTGTACAGAGGTAACTCGTGGTTGCTCTGATGCTGAAGACTGTGACAGTGATGTGCCAATTGTGGTAACAGGTACCCATGGTGGACAGTGTTGGCTGGAGCTTCCCGACTAAAACAAACCTGGAAGAAGGAGCAGCATCCACTTCCGAAATGGCTTGCTTCCGGAAACTCGATGTACAAACAGTGCTCAGGCCATTTGTTCATAGGGTCGCTATGAGTTGTCTACGACTTGATGGCACCAAACAACAACAACAACAGGACAAACCTGTTCATCTTCTCAGCCATCTGTGGTATATTCAATACTCTTCTCCAACACCACAGCCTAAAGGTATCAATTCTTCTAGTCATTGTCCAGCTCTCTGATGCATAGCAAGTGGTTGCAAAGACCATGACCTGTATCAAGTGCACCTTAGTCTCCAAAGTGGCATCATTGCTCTAAAGTATTTGGAGAGCAGCAGACTTTCCCATCGCAAATACATCTTTTAATTTCCTGGCTGCTGGTACCAAGAGTGTTGATTGTGGATCCAAGCAAACTAAAGCTGTTAATAATCTCAACCTTTTCACCATCTATCTTGATGCTGCCAATTGGCCCAGTGGTGAGAATCTTTGTCTTCTTGACATTGGGCCTCAATCCATATTGGAGGCTGCAGTTTTTGACCCTCTGCAGCAAGCGCTTCATGTCCTCCTCAGTTTCAGCAAGCAGGGTTGTTGTCATCTGCATAAAGCAGATTGTTGATGAATCTTCTTCCAATCCTGATGCCATATTTCTCCTCATACAGCCCAGCTTTCCAGATAACCTCTTCTGCTTATAGATTGAAAAGGTATGGAGATAGGATACATCCCTGGTGTACACCCTTTCCAGTTTTCAACCATGCAGTGTTTCCTTGCTCTGTTCTGACTACTGCCTCCTGGTCGAACTACAGGTGTCACATTAGCATGATAATTTTCTAACTAACTCATATTTTCATATGAGTAATCAATCTTATAAGTACTCAAAAATTGGACAATGAATAAGGAAAAGTAAAAAACTGATGCCTTTGGAACATGATCTTGGTGAAGAATACTACATGTGCCAGGGACCACCAGAAGAACAAACCTGTCTGTCCCTGAAGAAGTATAGCCAGAATGTTCTTAAAAGCAAAGATGGCAAGACTTTGCCTCATGTACTCTGGACACGTTATGAGACAAAACCAATCCCCAGAGGTCAGCATGTAAAGTGGAATTGCAAAAAGATTGAAGACCTTCAGTGAGATGAAATGGCAACATGGATGCAACACTGAGTGGACTCAAACATGATAATGATCTGACTGGACAGAACCTAGTAACAACAATACTGGAGTAGAATGGGTCCTAATCCAAAATTAGAACATCTCGTTGCCATCAAGTGGGAACTGACTCATAGCTGGCCCTCCAGTCAGTTTTCAGAGCTATGAACCACACCAGAGAAAACTGCCCATCTCTCTCCCTCAGAGCAGCTGGTGGATTCGAACCATATGACTTTGGGTTGACAGTACAACTCTTTAACCACTTAGACCACCAGAGTTCCCTATCTGAAACTGAGCGGTTAACTCTGAAAGAAGATACAAGAGGAAAGAACATGATATGAGAACAGAGTTATGCTGTAGCTGCAAGTGACACTGAGACAAGAATGCAGGGATGAGAAGATCTCAGAAGATGTAAAGGAAGAGCAAATGCAAAGGCCTAAAAAATGGAAATGAAGGCGGGGCACTCCTCCTACTTTAAAGAAGTAGAAAGTATTAATGTCCCTGGAATGTCATGACAAGTGGATCTGAGAGTAAGTTGTGTGGAGATAATATCAATAAAATTGTATACTCTTTTTTCACTAATTTAAGAATATTCTTAGCTATAAAAAAGAATTTGTAAACATTTTTTAATTATTGCATTTTAAAAATCGCATACACTTTCTGCTGCTAGGCCTTCAACAGAAGTCTGAGGAGAAAGACTTAGAGCCATGGAAATGAGGCTAACCCCTCCTGTAGATGCCCTCGTTGCCACTTCTCCACTCTTGTGGTCCACTTTCACAGAGGCAGAAGCCCCATAGACAAAATCCTAGAGACTATCAATCTGTCCTGTTCTCAGTAGACAGGATCTGAGCTCCAGGAACTTCTCTCAGGCCTCCATAGCTCTCCTTTGTACTGTCCTATCTACTCTGATTCTAATGATAAGGAGAAATAAATGTTTCTCTGCTGTCACCTAGTAAAGACTACTTTGTCTCCCATTTTCAAGGAACAGCCCATGCTGACAAGAGCCCTCTTCTAGAAGACTGCGCTCCTTTGTCGTCCTCTCTGCTAGCTTTTGGCATATCTGGAAAGCAATAGGACTTCACCAGCTTCTCTCTGTCATCATTTCAATCTTCAGGGCTTGAACTGCAGGGTCTGCGGAATTCCTGTCCATACTCGTGTATCCACTTATTGGCCACTGGGAAAGAATGGGAGCAAAGAAGAGAGACAGCTCATTAGAGCAGACAGTGGGAGACCCAAACTACAAGCCAGCACTCACTCTGTGGCTCATTGAAGTATCTCCTTAAATCCTGTACCCTAGACACCTCATTTGTCTAGCCCTAATCCCACCCCTGCTAAGATGGTGCTGTAGGAGATAACTAGCAAAGAGCACACTGTCTCCTGAAAGAAGTTCCTGGCAGGTCCTGCTTCTTATAGGCTCATTTCGAAACCTGAGACAACTAGGGTCCTATATCTTTCATTTATGCAGCTTCTACAAGCCCACCACCTCCAGGTGAAAGGAAGAAAATGTGATGTCTTCACCCTTAGCAATGTCCATCTCAAAGTGACAGCTTATCTTTTTTCTTCAGAGCTAAGTGTTCTTAGACATACGTAATTTAAACACTTCAGCTGATTATTTAAGAAGCCCTGGTGGCACAGCAGTTAAAGCACTCAGGTGCTAACTGAAAAGTCAGCACTTACACTCAACAGTCAATCCAAGGGAGGAAGTTGAATTTCATACAGATTTCCAGCCTTGGAAACCCTGTAAGACAGCTCCACTCTGTCCTGTCGGGTCACTGTGAGTTGGAATCCATTTGATGGTTGTAGGGAGGCTATTTATCTTCTAGGTTTTACCATTTCTTCATCACTCATTCACTCTTTGCTGTCAAGTTGGAACTGACTCGTATCTGACCTCCCAGCAAGTTACTAAGGCTATAGATTAGCTGGGAAGCATTTGCCCATTTTTCTCAACCTTATTGACTATTATGTGACAGGACCCCTACCTCTCTGGGGCTCCGAATCTGTTCTGGGAAAACGACTCAGAGTCTATAATCATTTCACTATAACATGGCATTGAAATGTCACTGTATGGTATTTTCTAACCATCTCTATTTTCACTTTATGCTGTACCCTTCCCCTCAGTCTCACCCCTAGAAAGGGAAGCCTTACCCCACTTATCTCCCACCAGGACAGGACAGCCAGCATGAAGGGTGTCACCATCCCCTTCACCACTCCTGTGCAGGTTCCACCAAAACAGCGCTGCATTCTGAAACAAGAGGGTCCAGCCTGGGGAGGGTCAGCCCAGAATCCCAGTCCTTATGAAGAAAATGACTAAGGACAAATGCAAGTGTTTCATTAAATGAGGAAACTCCATGCACTTTGGGAACAAGGCATGAATGAAATGGAACCAAATGGCCCAAGGGGCCACTTACTCACTCGTCAGTAAGTAATTTACTTCAAGTCTACTCTTAACACATGCCCTTTGGGTGTAGAGGCAAATCACATCCAGTCTTCACAGATCTTACAGTTTAGTAAGAGAGGCTAACAAAAACAGACCACCTCAGTATGCTGTGGCAAGTGCTAAGAGAAAGGTCAAAGAACTGAGAATCTAATTCCCAAGTTTACTGTTGTCGTGTACCATCGAGTCAGAACCAACCCATAACGGACCCTCCGGCGGGCAGTTAATCACATGGGAGGAGATTGCCCATCTCAATTACCAGATTGGTAATTCCCAATTTTACCCTCCTTTATATACTTACTAATAGTATCAGCCTCTTTACCTATTCATCTAAGAGGGCAGTATACTCATCCCCATTTTACTAGCAAAGGAGTTAGGCAAAGTCAGAATGCAAATCCAGAACGCAAATTCTATGCAGTTTTCCTCCTATATGCTGCTGTTTCCTTACTTTAATCATGGCCTTTAGAAGTAGAAAAAAAAACATTATAAAGGAGGAGCTTTCCAGGAGGCAGTGGAAGCCTCAGCAATCTCAAGCCTCAAGGAGACCTCACAGCCCTCGGAATTTCTATCTTAACATTTATGTAGAGAATCTTAGAACGTACCAAGCACTGTGCTGAACACTTTACAGGCATTAGTACCGCATTTCTTTTTCTTCATATTTTATCTGAATTGGTGACGGACTGTTGGGGAGCTTAATTAATCTGGGATGGATATTTATTCATCAAACATCTTGCCCCTCTTTTTACCTTTTTTATAGTTCTTATTGAATTACGTTGTCATTGCCTCTTAATTCCTCTGTGCGAACCTGGAGGACAAGGACTGTGATTTTTTTTTCCTCTGTACCTTCAGTGCCTCCTGCCCTGAATGTTTGTGGAATGAAAGACTGAAGGGACTAGTTGTGGTGAAGGATACAAAGATGAATGACACAGAGTTCTTAAACTTTGAGGGAAGACAGACATGCAATCATCCACTTACAATGTAAGTGGAGATCAAATAAAGAGGCTGTGGTGGTAAAGAAGGAGGGACTGGTTAGGGTTCTAGGAATCAGAGAAGACCTCTTTTTATACTCCCCAGAATCAGTCTGCATGCACAAGAGAACACGAAGGCTGAGGCGTGGAGAGCTGTGCTCTTAGAACCTCGAGCGGCCACTCACCTTAACCACAGGCATGCTAAAGTTGGCATAGATGAAAGCTGTGGCTCCTCCGGCCTCCACTGCACTCAGCTACAATGTCAGAGGAAGAAACCAGAGTTGGAACAACTGCTGCCTGGCCTACTTTGTCATGCGCTCATTAACATGATATCCTGATGTCAGCTCTGCTTGGATTCCTCCCTATGCTCCCTGATTCCAAGCTGGGAATAAGGAAGTCTGCTCAACAGCATTAGTGTTTGCTTCCAGGGTCACGAGAGGACCAGATTTAGATATTCCTTCTCTCTCTCTCTCTCAATCCTCACAGCTAACATCAATATTGAGGGCTCCATTAGCTCAGTAGATTAAAAAAGTTTTGACTAAGCTCCAAGAATTACTTTTGTCATCACGCTCCAAAACAGACACACACACTTACACTGTTGTTTTCTTAACATTGTAACTGGGCTTTTGTAACTAGCAAACAGCTGGAGGAAAAAAAGAACAGAGGTATGGGGGGGGGGGGACTGTATACCAATGAAGGAGTTTTGCTTTTCAGGAAGAAGAGCAAACTGGGGGGGGGGGGGGGGGAGAAAAGTGCAACAATGAATGAATGGAAATCCAAAATCTTTGTAAATGTTCATTGAAATCAATAATGGGGAAAAAAAAACCCCACAAACAAACAGAGGTATGTTGGGCCTCTGGATGTCCTAGTGTTTGGTTGACTCCTATATTCCTTACTGTCAGTGACCCTCCAGGCAGCTTGAATGACCAACTGCAGGTGCAGTGGTAGCTGCTACTTTAAGATGTGCCTCCTGCCCAGAGAGCTGACTTCAATTCTGTGTCTCATCAGATGCTCAGAAAGGCCACTGAGAGGCCTAAATACCAGTGTGAGTGGCAGCTTTCCAGTCCTGCAGGAAATATAAAGCTGGGCCACATAAGGAAACACGCTGGCGTTGTCAGCATTAAAGACCAGGGAACACTGACCTGTTTGCCCTTTCTGGCTGTGCTCTGAGGAGAGAAGAAGAGAAACTGCTGGGCAAAAGGGGCAGTTCTGATAGAACTTCATATTTGGTTATTACTTAGAGCCCTTCTAACAGGTTTCAATTTCAGTTAATAGTGACAAATCTCTTCTAATTTAAATGTTAGAAAACAGAAATTTTCATTTCTCCATAAAGAAAGTAAACTCACAGGGTCTGAAGGGAAATGGATATGTTATATAATAAATTGAACCAAATCCTGTAGGATCAGATCTGGAATTAGGAGACGAGAGCAATTTCTTTACATTGGAGTATAATGCCAATATTTAGGAGCCCTGGGGGCAAATAAAGCAGCTTATGTGTTGGGCTTCTAACTGACAGCTCAGCAGTCTGAATCTTTCTGCAGCAGTAAAAGGAGGCTGTCTGTTCTGGTAAGATTTATAGTCCAACTCAAAGGCAGTGGACATGTGGGAGATAATAGATTTTACCAGAGTTTATGGAGAGATAAGGAATCTTCATTGTACATCATAGTGAAACACTTATGAAATTTGTAGGTATCTCTGTTCTTCTCTCAAAGCTCCCCTTCTGATCATAGTTACTTCAGCTCTCCTCTTTCATCTTGTAGCTCTATAGGCTCATATGTAGGTCCATACTTTTCAATGTCAACTGAGATGTCAAAGACAGACTCTTGCTTCCTTTTCATGTCCTTTGACATTCAACATAATGTCACCTATGGTATCTAATCCTCTACTACAAGAAAGGTTATAATTAGATCTAGGCACTATAAGCTTTTCAAGGGCAAGAACTCTATCTTGAATTTCTAGTTTCTGTAATGTCTAAATAAAAATACCATCTGAGAGTCACACAATTCTGGCTGATTTTTGTGCTCACTGTCTAGTGTTTGCTGTATCATATAAAATCAATCCTTGAAATTGCTTTGAGTTCTGTAAGATAAAGTGGAGATTGAAATAGTCATTAAGTAAGAAAGCTCTGGCCACTCCAGAGCCTCAGACTCACATAGATCATAAATGTTGCAACTCGGTTTCCAGACTTCATTCTGTACAGAGGACTGCTTGGTGACTGAGGTAAAAACAAATCATAGCATTATGTTATGCAAAAGACATTAGAGCAACAACAATGACTTCACCACAGCAGAGAGAAGTAAAAAGGAGGTGTTAAAGAAGGACTTAGAGCCCTAGGCTACACCTGGGGAGGATGTGCCCATCTTTACTGTTGTTATTGTTGTTATGTGCCTGGTCAACTGCAGCTCACAGTAACTATGAGCAATAACTATCGTTGTCCTATCCTGAGCCAACCTCACAATTGCCGACACATCTGACTTCATTCCCACAGTCACTGTGCCAGTCCATCTCATCCAGGATCTTCCTCTCCTGTGCCGACCCTCTATCCTTCCAAGCATGATGTCCTTTTCCAAGGACTGGTCCCTCCTGGCAACATGTCCATAATAAGTGGGATGGAGCTTCAAAATCCTTGCATCCAAGGAGCAAGCTTGTTTCACCCTCTCCAGACTTGTTTGTTCTCTTGTCGGTTCATGGTATGTTCAATACTCTTCTCCAGCACCACAACTCTTTTTCTGTCATCCTTAGTCACTGTTCAGCTCTCAAATGGACAGCAAGCAATTAAGAAGACCATGCCCTGGATCAGATACGTCATAGTCTCTAGACTCACAGTACTGCTCTTTAGCACTCTGAATAGGTCCTGGACAGTAAATTTTCCCAATGCAATTTGTCTTTTGATTTCCTGACTGATGGTACCAAGGTTGGTGATTGTGAATCTGAGCAAGATGAAATGATTAACAGCCTCAATCTTTTCTCCATTTATCAGGATGCTGCCTACTGGCCTGGTGATGAGGATCTTTACTTTCTTGAAGTTGAGATGCAATCTTATTAAAGGTTGCTTTCCTTGATTTTCTGCAGCAAAAGCTTCAAGTCCTACTCCATTTCAGTGAGCAAGGCTGTGTCATTTGCATAATGCAGGTTGTTGATGAGTCTTTCTCCAATGCTGATGCCACGTTTTTCTTCATAAAGGCTAGCTTCCTGAATGATCTATTCAGTACATAGATTGAAAAAGTATAGAACAACAGATACCTCCTGTGGCATTCCTTTCTTGACTTTGAACCCTGCAGTGTTCCCTTGTTCTGCTCAGACAACAGCTTCCTGGGCTGAGTATAGGTTTTGCATGAGCACAATCAAGTGCTGGGGGATTCCCATTCTTCCCAATGTTAGCCACAATTTGTTGTGATCCACACAGGCAAATAGCTTTGCATAGTCAATAAAACACAAATAGACATCATTCTTGTTCCCTCTTCTTTTAGCCAAGATCCATCTGACATCAGTAATGATATCCCTAGTGCCACAGCCTCTTCTAGTTTGTATTTCTAGAAGCTCTGTCTGTATTATTCTAGTTGTTTTGGGATGATATTCAGTAAGGTTTTACTTGCATGTGATATTAGTGATCTTTTTATTTTTTAAAAAACATTTTAGTAAATAAAAATGTCTTTTCTCACAGTTTAAGAATCCATAAGTCCAAATTTTAGGAGCTGGCTCTAGGAGAAGGCTTCGCTCTGTGTCTCCTGGTTCTAGAAGTGTCCCATTGTGAGAACCTACATCCAAAGGACATGTTCCTCTCCTGGTTCTTCTTTCTTGGTGGTGATAGTAGTGATCTTGTCCAATAATTTCCACATTCTGTTGGATCACCTTCTGGGAAATGGGAATAAATATGAATTTCTTCTATATTCAGTCAATTGGCCAAGTAGTTTTCTCCTCTAGATTTCTTGGCACAACCAGGGCTCCATTTGTTTGTTAAAATTTGTCAAATAAAAAGAAAATAATAAAAAATTTGTCAAATAAATACTATTTATCAATCAATTACTGAAACCTTATTTTTTGCCAATTCCTTCAGTGTAGAATGAATTTCCTCCTTTATTGGTTCTTGATCATAGTTACAAAATATTTTTTTGGACTAACTTATTGTTAGATGTACAATGTAAATGGAATATAATAATCCAACAAAATTAGTTGTTATTAGTGAAAGTACTTGCTATATGAGGGTTTATTGTTTCTTTGGGTTCTCAGCAAATTAAGTCAATATGTAAAGTATTATGTTGTTGTTGTTATGTGTCGTCGAGTCGCTTGCGACTCATAGCGACCCTATGTACAACAGCCCTAAACTCCGCTCTGTCCTGTGCCAATCGCACTGTCTCCGACACTCCCATCCCAATCATCCCAGTCACTGAATCAACCCACCTCATAGAGGGCCTTCCTCTCCTGCGCTGTCCCTCCACCCTCCTAAGCATGATGTCCCTCTCTAAGGACCGGTCTCTCCGCACACCATGTCCAAAGTATGTTAGACGGAGCCTCAGAACCTTGCCTCCAAGGAACCACCCGGTTTAACCCTTTCCAGGACAAATCTGTTTGTTTTCCTAGCAGCCCATGGTATTCTCAATACTCTTCTCCAGCACCACAGCTCAAAGGCATCAATTCTCCTTCTATCCTCCTTGGTCATTGTCCAACTCTCTGATGCATAACAAGTGATTGCGAAGACCGTGGCCTGTATCAGACACACCTTAGTCTCCAGAGAGACACCATTGCTCTTCAGTACTTTGGAGAGGTCCCAAACAGCAGACTTTCCCATGGCAATGCGCCTTTTAATTTCCTGGCTGCTGGTGCCAAGACTGTTGACTATGGAGCCAAGCAAACTAAAGCTGTGAACAATCTCAATCTCTTCACCATTCATCCTGATGCTGCCAATTGGTCCAGTGGTGAGAATCTTTGTCTTCTTGACATTGAGCCTCAATCCATATTGTAGGCTGCAGTCCTTGACACTCTGCAGCAGGCGCTTCAGGTCCTCTTCAGTTTCAGCAAGCAGGGTTGTGTCATCCGCATAACGCAGATTGTTGATAAATCGTCCACCAATCTTGACCCCACATTTCTCTTCATAGAGCCCAGCCTCCCGGATAATCTGTTCTGCATATAGGTTGAAAAGGTATGGAGATAGGATGCATCCCTGGCGTATACGCCCTTCCCAATTTTGAACCATGCAGTGTTCGCTTGCTCTGTTCTGACGACTGCCTCCTGGTCCAAGTATAAGTTTTGCATTAGAACGATCAAGTGTTCTGGGATTCCCATTCTTCTCAGAGTCAGCCATAGTTTGTTATGATCTACACAGTCAAATGTCTTTGCATAGTCAATGAAACACAGATAGACATTCCTCTGGTATTCCCTGCTTTCAGCCAAGATCCATCTAACATCAGCTACAATATCTCTAGTACCACGACCCCTTCTAAACCCAGCCTGGACTTCTGGCAGTTCTCTGTTGATGTGCTGTTCCAGTCGTTTTTGGATACTCTTCAGTGAAATCTTGCTTGCATGTGAAATCAATGATATTGTTCTGTAGTTTCCACATTCTGTTAGGTCAACTTTCTTTGCGATAGGAACAAATATCGATCTCTTCCAGACAGTTGGCCAAGTGATTGTTCTCCAGATTTCTTGACACAACTTGGTGAGCACGTCCATGGCAGCATCTGTTAACTGAAATATGTCAATTGGTATACCATCTATTCCTGGAGCCTTATTTTTTGCCATTTCCTTCAAAGCAGCCTGAACTACTTCTTTCATCACCATAGGCTCTTGCTTATATGTTGTTTCATGAAATTCTTCTGTGTCTTCCAATTCCTTTCGATACAGTGACTCAGTATATTCTTTCAACAATATAATTGACTATAAATGCGTAGATTTCTTTCTGGATTCTATTTTCTTCCATTAATCTACATATATTAATATCTCTGTATCAGTTCTTATATAAATACTATACAACCTTAATTACAAGAATTCTAATGGCAAATTTGAGGTGGATAGGTGGATAGCAACAGGTAAGAAAATTAATGAGTTAGCAGTAATCAGCTAGAAACTAAGATTCTCCTATCTTCCTAAAACAAGAATATTTTCCCTAAGATTTTACTTACTTTTCCCTGTGTGACTAAGCAAACTCTGCTTCAGAGAAATAGTTCCCCACTATCCCAGGATATTGGTCATCGACCTGATATTACCGTAGCATGATCAAAGTGGGGCTCATAGTGTCCTCCGATTCCATAGTTCACCACCTGGAGGTATTCTGCATACGGGGGCTGGACATCAAGGCCTGTGAGGGCAGCAATGCGGTGGTCAAGGGTCACCAGCATTGGGTCAACGGTGTCCTTCAGCCAGGCACTAAAATACACCAAAGATCAAAGCATCATTAACTTGTGTTCAAGGCCCACTCATTGATGCCTGAAATGATAAAATGATGCTTATGATTAAATGATTAAAGGATACAAACTGAAGAAAGAAGAAAGGGATAGGAGAAAGGGAAGAAAAAATCCCCCACAAAGGAAAGGATGAACATTAGTTCATAAGAACTACATAAGTACAAATGGTACATGTTTTTAGATTTACAGAGATATTCAAGATGAAAATGTTACCTTCAAACACCCCATGGATTAAATGAGAGAAGAAAAAAATAACTCACTATAAATCAAGTTATAATGAAAAAGTGCAATATAGACTATTGAACAGAGAGAAAGCACAGGAAAAAGAGCAGTTTGTTTGGGTTGGACACTAAGTTAAGATGGTGACATTTAAGCCAAATTTTGGAGAGTTAGTAAAATTTTGCTGGATAGAAAAATGTAGGGATATTCCTGACTAAAGAAACAGCTTATGAACAGGTGTGAAAGTTTGATAATACATAGTGTATACAAGAAATACTGTAGTATATATAGCTAAAGCATTTAGTTTATGAAAAACATAATGGTAGATAAAACTTTTAAAAAGCAGACTTGGCATGTTACAACAAGCGGAGGACACTATGCTAAGTAATCTGGACTTTACTTTGTGGGTTTTAGATAATGAAGGTTTGTGTACAAGAAAATGATCTATTAGGGATCTCTTATGGATTGAATTGTGTTCCTCCCAAAATAAGTGTTGTAAATCCCAACTCCCATACCTGTAGTTATAATCTCATTTGAGAATAGGTCTTTTTCTATGTTAATAAGCAAATTAGTGTAGGTGTGACTTGAATACATTTCATTTGAAATCAAAAAGAGATTAAACAAACAAATAAGCAGAAAAGGGAAAAGCAAGATGCCAAACTACATGAAGATCATCTCCAAGGAGCACTCAAAAGAGAGAAGGACTATGGAATATTTATACCATGGAAATAAGCAAAAACTAAAAATGAGGTTTTATCCCACTAGAGTCAGTTGGTTAAAAAGTAACCAACATGTCATTGCTCTCCCTACGGATAACATTGTGAAGAATGGGAATTCCAGATACTTAGTTATGCTCATGGGAAACCTATACCTAGAACAAGAATGAAACACTACATGGTTTAAAATCAACACAGGTGTGGGTCAGGACTGTATCCTTTCTCTGTATCTATTCAGTTAGTATGGTGAGCAAACCAGTTGAGAAAGCAGACTTTATGATGAAGAATGTGGCATCAGGATCAGAGGAAAATTCACCAACAACCTGTATTATGCTGATGACAAAACCTTGCTTGATAAAAGTGAAGAGTACTTAAAATACTTGCTGTAGAAGATCCAAGATACTTTTAATAAGGGTTACATCTCAAGAAAACTAAGATCCTCAGTACAAGGCCAATAGGCAACATCATGAGAGATGGAAAAAAGACTGAAGTTGTCATATTACTTGGATCCACAATCAACACCCATGGAAACAACAGTAAGGAAATTAAGACATGTTCCATTTGGAAAATCTGCTGCCTAGAATTTCCTTAAAGTGCTGAAGAGCAATGACATCTGTTTAAAGACCAAGGTGCACCTGGTTCAAACCATGCTTCAATTACTTGCTAGGCATCTGAAAATTGAACAATGAATAAGGATGGCAGAAGAAGAATAAATGCCTTTGAACTGTGGTGTTGGATTAGAGTACTGAATATCTCAGACAACCAAAAGGACAAACAAGTATGTCTTGGAGAAAATGAAACCATAATGCTCCTTGAAGGCAAAGATGGTGAAGCTTCATCTCACACACTTGGATATGTTGTTAAGAGGGGTTAGTCCTTGGAAAAGGGCATCATGCTTGAAAAATAGAGGGTCAGCATAAGAGAGGAAGATGGATTGAACAAGATGGACTGTAACAATGGGCTCAAGTATGTCAGAGATGGAAAGTTCAGATCCATTGTTCATAGGGCTGCTAGGGGTCATAGTTAAGTTGAAGAAACAAAACAACAACAACAACAACAATCCTTCATACCTCACCCCACATTTGGGTTAGTTGGCTCTTCTAATCTTCTGAACTTACACACTTAAGTACTGTAGTTACTTATCTGTTTCCCCGTTCAGACAGAAAGTTCATACACTATATCATTAGACTCTTACTCACGGTCTGGTTTCCAGAAGGCACTAATGATTATTCTTTGACAGACTGGTTTGTTTCAGTGAATGACTGGAATGCATACACTTGCCATCTCTGGGAGAAACACTAGCAGAGATGCTTCCTGGCTGCCCTCCACTGTGACCACCTGCTTGTCGGGAAAGCATGGAACGAAAGAAAGGAAAGCCAATTGGACACTATTATGAATTTAACTGTGTCTCCCCAAAATATGGCTAACCCCTATACATGTGATTATAATCCCCTCTGGGAATGAGATGTGTTTTAAATTTTAAGTCAGTTTCTTTTGTGATGTAAAAGAGATTAAACAAGCAAGTGAGTAAGCAAAGGTGAGAGAAAATAAATGCCTTACCACATGAAGATCACTGTTGTTGTTATGTGCTGTTGAGTCTCCTGCAACTCATAGCAATCCTATGTACAACAGCCCTAAACTCTGCTCTATTCTGTGCCAATCTTATTGTCTCTGACACATCTACTCCCATTACCCCAGTCACTGAACCAATGCTTCTCATCGAGGGTCTTCCTTTCCTGTACTGTCCTTCCACCTTCACAAGCATCACATCCCTCTCCAAGGGCTGGTCCCTCCTTGCAACATGTCCAAAGTATGTCAGATGAAGCTTCAGACTCCTTGCCTCCAAGGACCAGCCTGGTCTCACTCTGTCTAGGACGAACCTGTTTGTTCTCCTAGCAGTCCATGGTATATTGGATACTCTTCTCCAGCACAAATAAAAAAAACAAAAAAATAACAAAAACGAGGACCTTCTTCCAGAGCTAACAGAGAAAGAAAGGCTTCTCCCAGAGCCAGCTCCATGAATCCAGACTTTTAGCCTGTGAGATAATAAGCTTCTGTTTGTAAAAGCCACCCACTTATGATATCTCTATTACAGCACCACAAGATAACTAAGCCAGGCCCTATTCCTGTGAAACTGTGTTGGCTGAACCAAAATTCAAAAGATTGAGGAGTGATGTGATTTGGGAAAGAAGAGATAACTATTCATCTTAAAAGGGAAGAAAATATTCCCTACTTCTAGAAAAGCAAGCTCTCCTAGTGTGGTCCATAGAGAGCTGTGCTGCTAACCCAAAAGTGGCACATCTCTGGCAGGTCAAATCCTCCAGCAGCTCTGAAGAAGAAAAATGGGCGCACTCCTCCCATGCAATTTACAGTCTCCAAAAATGGAGTTTTGTAGGTTTTCTGAGGGTCAGCTATGAGTCAGTTGTGACTTGAAGGCAATGAGAGAATTTAAGAGAAAAGAAAAACAATGTTTGTGAACATAAAAATTTCCCTCTTTGACTCTAGAATGTCATAAAGTTAGAAAAGTAATGAAGGTGATGTTGTAAAATCCTTCCCAAGTTTGGAAAATAACTTTTAATATGAAAGGTCTCTAAATGTACTCGACCAACTAAGTGAAGCCAAATTGTTTTGAATCACTGATTTCATCACTCATCTCACTTCCCGTAGAAATCCAAGGTCCAAGGTCCAAGAAAACCACGTACACTGAGGCCTGGCCTCTCCCAAGGCTGCTGACTTCCGGCTTCTGATGCGGGGTCCTCATCTTACCCTGTCAGTCACCCCATTGTTACGACATAAATAAACAGCTGCAGTACAGGCTGGGCAGAACTGAGGATGGATAAGATTGGGGTACCCCCAGCTAAGTCAGCTCCTGGAGAGACACCATATCCAGAGATTCTATTCATCACCCCTGCTGAATGTTGGAAAGTCATGCTTTGAATATGAGTCAGGAAATGGGAATGGAAACATGAGGTAAAATTACAAAAGTAGACGAGACTGCATTCTCTGGAAAAGCAATCCTCATTTTAACCATATGCTTATTTTGGGAGAGTAGAGTTCTTACAGGGACTTTGTGCCAAAAAAGAAACCTTCCTACCTTTTGCTGATGCGGTAGTCCACTTGTAACTGCTTTTCGCCGGATGCCACGACTGATCTCTGCAGCTGGTGTGAAGGGTATAAGGGGGGAGGTGAACTAAGAGGCTGTCATGCACAAAGAGGTGGTTTTGTCATTTGCACAGATATTCCCCCTACCCCTCCTAGAGCATAAGCCCAAGCATCCTTGTGTCTCCCTAATTAACGCTATTTTACACTTGCTACTAATCTACTGGAGTCCCTGGGTGGTGCAAATAATTAACATGCTAACTGCTAATTGAATGGTCGGAAGCCTGGCCTGATGATGCACTTCTGACAAATCAGCCCTTGAAAACGCTAAGGATCACAGTTCTCTTCTGACGCACCATTTGTTGGAGTCACTTCAGCAGCAAGTGGTATGGGATTTTTTAGACTAAGTTACTGATAGATATGAATCTTGAATATAAAAAAACTATGTGATGACTAAAAATCTGAGTTGATAGTACCTGTTAGCACTGTGTCTGCTAGACAGTAAGCACTTAATAACTTGTTGAACTGAAATAAACGGACATTTGATTGTTGTTTAATAATCTGCATGGCAACAAGGAGTTCTGCAAATACAGGACCATTTCTCTGTTACCTGTGTATCCTCTGTGTCCAGCACAGGACTTGACCTTGGCAAGCATTAATGAGAGCTTGTCGAATAAATGATTGAACACTTCCACAACAGGAAACTACCTGCAGAGGCAGCTTAATCCTTCTAAACAATTCTGGCAAAAGCCCTTTCTTATAAAGAAATTAAAAAAATCCATTTTTCTATAATTGCCTTTATTGTGGTGGGTGGGGGAAGTCTGAGTTTGTTAATACAATTGAATGTCTCTTTTGGTTCAAATGTTTGTATAGCAGTGTGTACGAAGCTGTGCTGCCATCCCTATAGCAACCTCCAGCTGTTCCACAGGAAAAGGCCAGGCAAACTCACGTGCAATTAACTGCCTCTGAAAACCCATTGGAGGGTCAGCTGTGAGTCAGTTCCAACGCAGTGGCCCATAACAACAACATATTGGAGTGTAAATTATTTTTTAAATAAAATGCTTTCTAACTGCAAAGTACTTTCTTAAGGATAGAAAATTATTGATTCGCCTAACAATTTGTCTAGTTCTGCCTCTTTGATTAGAATGTCAGCCTTATGAGGGTAGAGCTTGGCAAGAAGTAGGTGCTTGGAAGAATTCAACACAAACCCCTAAATTCCCATGATAGTGTCACTATCATATGAGCTTCAGGCTTGCTCCTAGGAGAGCCAGAGATTAGACAAAAATCAAGGACCCTAGGGAGAGGTTTCTGGGAGAAGGGAATGTGGCAAGGCCTGTGCACACCAATGGATTACCTGATCATGAGGACTGAATGGACACGTGTTGCCATGCCAACTGAGCTGCACTAAGGAAAAATAGCTGCTGACCAAATAGCACTGCCAGTTCATGGAGAAACTGAAATTATTGCAAACATGTTGCTCCACGTCCCCAGTGAAACTTAATGATCTGAAAACCTCCAGTACAAAAGTCCTAGATTTTATTGGTGGGGGCTGGGGAGGAGCTTTCCAATCAAATGAGTATTGCTACTTTTTAACTGTCCAAGTCTTCTTTTAAATCCACAAATCTGACCATATCATTCTCCTGTTTAATGTTTAATATAGCCCAACAGCTTCTCCATTGCCTACAGGATGAAATCCAAGCTCCCCAGCATGGCATTTACAGTGTTTCCTAAAGGGTTCTCATCATCTAGCTGCATCTCCTCTCCCGTGTCACCCCATCTGCTGTGCACTTCAGTCACCGAGCATCCCTCCTCCTCCTGAGTGCAGTGTATATCAGACACCTGTATGTCTCCTTTTGTGTTCCTGGGATAGCCTTGCCCACCTTCGCCAATTACTCTGATGAATTTCACTGCTACTGTGAAGCTTTCTCTAGTTCTTCCTCTCCTCTGTCTGTTCTTCTTCCCACTGCCTCGTCTTCTGAGGAATGCTTACTTTTTTATGTTATCACACACAGCACAACCCTCGGTGTACACTTCTGTCAAAACACTGTTCATGTTGTTGTGTGCCACTGTGTCAATTTCAATTTATAATGACCCTATAGGACAGAGTGGATCTTCCCTATTGCCTCATGGGGTTCCTAGGGTGTAATATTTTTTCTTCTTCTTCTTCTCTAGGGTCTAATCTTTATGACAGCAAATCACTAAGCCTTTTCTCCCCCAGAGCCACTGATAGGTTGAAACCACCAATCTTACAGTTACTCATCGAGTGCTTTAACCAGTGTGCTCCCAGTGTTCCTTACACTAAGCATAGTTATTGATGTTAGATGTCTCAGCTACTAATCAAAGTTATTAGGTGCCATTGAGTGAGTAATCAAAGTGTTGTGTAAATATTTCTTTTACTCCAGTAGTTCCTAAAAGGAAGAGACTAACACATTCTCGTCTTTGTAAAAAGCCCAGTGCAAGGTCTGGCTCACAGCAGGCTCTCAGTACATGCTGATGAATGACTGGATGGGTACATGGATGAATAGCACATTGTTAAGTACCTCAGGTTTGACCTTACTCTAACAGACTTGGAAAAAGAAATTAGAGGATTAATGTATCATTTTTACAGAGACAACGTGTTTACAGTGGTGTGAGAATCAAGAATCAAGTCGTAGCTGACCTTCTGGTGAGTTTTCAGAGACAGTAAATTGTGTGGGAAGATACTGTCCCATCTTTCTCCTGTGGGGCAGGTAGTGGATTTGAACTGTGTGCCTTCAGGTTGGCAGTGTGATTCCTTACCACACCACCACCAGAGCTCCCTGTTTACAAAGGTAGACAATATTCCTTTTCTAAAAATCTACCACCTTTCCAGTGGAGGATCAGACATCCTCACTGTACTGACAGCTTGTCTTGGTGACTTGGCAATGACTTCTCTCTGGAAGAAAGAAATACGCTGTCTCTGTGGATTTCAGAAGAGGCTACACAATTTCCTTTGACCAAAGAAATGTGAGTCAAAGTATTTGACATTTTCAAACAGATTTAAGAGCCAGCTCATAGTTCGCCTTCTCTGTCATTTTCCTCTTCCAGGAGACTGATATGTCAAGTTAGATATCAGAATTGATGCCAATCCCAGACAGACATTACTGTGAGGAAGAACTCATCTTCACTGTCGCTGTCATGGAGGTTTGGGGGTTGCTTGTTATCAGTTGCTTGTTATGCCTCTGCCTAAGTTAACTGTTACCAGCAGGTTCCAGGGCACAGCAGCAATCAGCATACCTCTAAGGTCCAGCTGTGGCTCTGGCTCCAGCTAAATGTGTGACCCTCACCCCGTCTTTCTCCTCTCAGGGTCCCAATTTCATCTTTAACAAAACTATGACGCAGGACCAGGCCACTTAGCACTCTGTAATTCTGTGTATCAGCACTAAAATGTCATTCTTGCCCATCATGTCACTCCTTTTTTATTCTCCCAACCATACACAGTGTGGCTAGGCTGACTTCCTGGACTAATAATGTGCCTGCGTGTTCTGGCTGCTCTTCTCCCACTTCAGGCAGATGAAAACACAAAGGGACATTCCTAGCCGACTTTGAGAACACTCACCCATGGTTCTGCAAGACCCCTAATTTTCTGAGCCTCCAGGTCACTGACAAAGTCATGGTAGAGGACAACATAGGGCTCCAGGTGGATGACCTCCTTCCGGACAGGCTGGAGCAGCAGGTAGGGACTGGAGTTGGTCTCATAGGAGCAGTAGAGGCTAGGGATCTGGTAGTGAGTGGGCTGGAAAGGAAAGTGCAAACTGAGCATAAAAAGAAGTCTAGGAGCAGAAAGAATTTAGAGGAGCTCTGGTAGCTTAGTGGTAAGGAGTTGTGCAGCCAACCCAAAGGCAAGTGGTTCAAATCCACCAGCTGTTTCTCAGGGGAAAGATGAGTCTTTTCTTCCTATATGATGGGATCTGACCACCTGCTGGAGGGTCGGCTAGGAGTCAGTTCCAACTCAATGGTCCAACAATGACACAAAATATAGACTATCAGCACACAGAATATGGTCCTGATGCTTTCCAAGCAAACATTATCTTTTTTAATACATAAGCTTCCAACACCCCACATACACATTTCCCCAATTATACCTTCTCACTTTTTATCAAGCCTGTTCCTCTTTTCCTTTTCTCAAGGGATTTACCTGGGAACCTAGGGTCTGACACAATCCCTCGTAGGTGTCTCTGGTCTGCAGGTGGGGGACGTTGGGTCTCTGCATGACAGGAATCATCTGACTGGGGCTCTCAGCCAAGAGCTTTTCATATTTCAAGACATTTCTGGCCATTCGCTTATTATCGGGACCTGGAAGAAATCACAGGTGAGGAAAACACACATTAACAAGCAGTGCTTCTAGGCAGCTCCACCAAGGTGTCCTACAGCTTTCCTCTCACACAGGCCTGGCAGCTGGCTGCCCTAAGCAGTTGTCTATGTGTCAATGCATAATCCAAGTATGTACCAGAATTGAAAAAAAAAAAAAAGGTTGAGTTGCTTCTGATAGATCTGAAAGTCCACAGTACTTCTGGAGGAAACTAATCTATACATTCTAAGCTCAACAGTGACTACTCTAGGATAGTGTGATGGTAAATTTTACATACAGGGAATGAGTCCTTACTCATTCAGCCATCATTTAATAAAGCTTCAGTGAGCATGTACTACATGTGTGATATTATGATAGAGGCTAATTTCTAGAGTTTAGAGTCTACTTGGGAAAAGAAACATTAAAAGAAAAATAACTACTACAACGAAACATGGTTAAGTTTTGCAGGAAGTAAATGCTTTATATAAGTAATTGCCATAAAGGAGAAGTCCAGAAACTCAAATCCTATTGCAGAGTCCCAACCAACCTATCTTTCTCTGAAAAACTAGAAGCTAATTTATTCTCAACTCCACTAAGTCCGTTACATTAACCAAGACACAGAGCAGAGCAACACTGGACAAAGTGGTCTAGATTTTTGTTCTAGTCTGGAGTCTTACAGAATCCTAGGAAAGCCTGATAAATCTTACTTGTGCCCACTTTGGCAAAATATCCCACAGGTTGGCAGCTACTCATGGCCTGTTGGCCAAAGTGCACAGCTCCCAGTACATCTCAGAAGGAGGTGCAGAATTGTTTTAATTCTTCCAAAGTATCTTTTTCTGAAAATCTCAATATGCTTCTAACCACTGCCACATCACCACCAGCAATAGCCACCACTGTGGGAAGGCAGAAAAGGAGGGGGCATAAATAACAATCCTTTCTCTTTTTTTTTTAATTTAGGTTGTTTATTTTT